TGCTGCTGGGTGTTTCCGTATTTGATGTTCTTATTTATTTCCTTATCCATTCTGTGAAACAAGCTTTGGGTTGCTTTCAACTTCATACTTTTGTACTTCTTGGATCTTCCTGAAGATACGCTCACAATCTTGGTAAGATAGGGTAGTTTTATTCACCATTTTAATGTACAGTAGTGGGGGAAGTGTTTTGGTGCCTGTAAGATACTTGAGGATTGGGGGACTCTGCTTTATTTTTGATAGACTAAAATTTTTACAGGATTTTGGGCATTTAAAACACAAAATCCATCAACTTCAGATGAGTAGAGAGTACAACACAGAGCGCTGAACATCTGCAGGCATGTCTTCAGAGTTTCAGGTGTCCAGGAAATGAGGCACATGATCAGATGTTGGTTGAACTGGCTTGTCTTGCTTCAGAGAGCATTCTGTGACAGAAACAGGGATTTAATCGACTTCTCTGCGGTGGTGCTCAGAAGAATGACTTAAACAGGTCCCTAATTCAAAATAGGGAAAATACCCTGTACAAGTAAACATTCATGGAGTCTGATTGATAATTGGATAGGCCACTCGTTTTGAAGATTTGGGTTTTCATTAGTAGTGTTCTTGGATAATTACTTGATTTTTTCCCATACAATATTTATTACATGCGTACGCTTAATTAGATAATTTAAGTGCAAAACTGTTGCCTTGTTAATTGTATATGGCTTACTTCAGGGAACCTGTATTCTTGTCAAAGAAAGAGTATGATTATGTCCTTAAAAATTATAGAACAAACTGCAAAGTTTATTGAATTATCTGAAATGAAAATTGCAATCCTCTTTTCTTGGATGTGAATAAAAATATGTGATTTTGGTATTACAAGGATTGACATTAGTATCTTTGGAAGAGAAAGCAGTCTGTGCAATCTACCACCACGTTGTTTTTCTCACAATATACTATTTTTTTTCTGCTGCTCTAAGTGCTTTAAACATTAGTATCACTTACTGAAGCTGTTTCACTTCTTGGATAGACGATGGGAAGGTGGAGATCCAGGCGTATCCAATCAGAAGACACCAACCACTATTCTCCTAACACCAGAGAGAAAGTTTCATAGCTTTGGGTATGCAGCAAGAGATTTCTACCATGACTTGGATCCCACTGAGTCAAAGCACTGGTTGTATTTTGAAAAGTTTAAGATGAAGCTACATACCACTGGTGTAAGTACTAACCAATTGTCTTGGATAATTGTGCATTTGCTACTCAAATTATCTTCCTGTGCACAATAGTAGATTTTTGCCTATAGATTGTCAACTAGAAGCAGCAGCTCTGTTTCTAAATTTAGAGAGTAAATAAAGTAAATTAAACTCTTCAGTTAACATGATTCATTTTACTTCTCACTGCATTTGGCAAGTGTATTTTGCCAGCCTTCTTTCTAGATTTTAGAAGCTCAATACCTGCTTTGCTTAGGTCTTCATGTCCTAATTTTCCTGGGTGAAATTCATAGCTGTCTAGAGAGTCTGCATGAGGTTGGCTTGTTCTATAAATCTAATCAGAAAGCAGAAATGGAATATAAGAGCCATACTGAACTCTAGCACAGAAGAGTAAATTTACCCAGAGTTCATTGTCAAAACTGCAAGTGCAAATCATGTTGTTAATTTGACGTTATTCCTACTGATTATATTTTTGTCTTGAATCGATTCTAGAGTTTTGGGACTTAGCCAGAACTTTCTGTATTGAGGTGTTTTCTGGATTTATGTGTTAGTGGAAAGCCAAAAATCTACGATTTTAACTCTTAACTTGGAATAAATATTTTGCACGTGCAGCTTTGTTGCAATTAATTACAGATACATTTATTGTAAATATTTAATCCATATTTCTCCGTCTGCAGGTATCTGTAGACATGGTAGCTGTTTAAAAACAGTCTAAATTAAGCAGCAAATGTCATGCTCCAGGAAATTCAAGTGATGAGTTAGATCCTCTTCAGAACAATTTTGTCACTTTTTCCTAACCAGGTGGATACTGAAGAATTCCCTTCCTCAAGCAGTGGGAATTAATTTCATGTTTACCTTTTCCTTTTAATAACTTTCAGTTATTTTCCTTCATGTAGAATCTTACCATGGAGACAGACCTGACAGCTGCAAATGGCAAAAAAGTCAAAGCACTTGAAATATTTGCTTACGCTCTACAATTCTTTAAGGAACAGGCATTAAAGGTGGGGTAATCCTTCCTTATCTAGATTTTCTGTATTTATAACTGGTTTAAATGTGAGTTTAACACTTCTAACCTCGCCAAGCTTTGACCTCAGTAGTATTTGATGTAAACAAAGCAAGGCAGCTGTAGAAACTCTAGGCAGGCTGTGGATTCTGGAGAGCGCACAATAGCCTGAAGTGATTTCCCTTTGCACAGGGGAAGCTTGATTCACAAATAGGAATGTATTGCTGTGATGCAGTGTTCTGAATATCTTCTTACTGGCCTAAATGTTTTCTACTGCTTTTTTCATGAAAAAATGTTGATTTGAAAAGAAAATTTGAAAATGCAGGAGCTGAAGCTCAGGACTTAAATTTGAGACTGGATCCTGTTCTGGTCCCCTACACTTCTGCTGCTGGAATGATGGATTGTTTTGTGTTCATGCAAGGTTCTCTCTCATGTGAAACGCAATAGGATGGGCATCTACTGGTGTCTCCTGCCCCAACCTGATGTTGTCTTCACTGATTAAGTAGAGGGAAGTTGGATGAGCTAGATTTATTTTGTAATAGAAAGATTATTAAAAGCTCATTTTTAATTTAGTGACTTGAATCTCACTGTAAGTCTGTGCAAAGATGACCTGCTGGTTAACCTGGTGGAAACAGTGTAATTATGCCAGTGCAATGATCTGTACAGGCCACTTGATTGCACTAAGAGGTTCAGTATGTTGACCTATGTGGAATTCTGCACCAGCATAGATATATAGCCCCCATTACCCAAACCAACATAAGGTGCCTTTGCACAGCATTCCTTTATTCTGTTTTACACAGCTAAACGGTAGGATGTGTGCCAAAGAGCCGCAGTTAGGCTATGGTGTTTTAGCCCTGTGCTGACTCTTTGCAGGGGTGAATTTCATGTTTTTGTGCTGTGAGATAGAGTCATAGAATCATTTAGGTTGGAAAGATCATCGAGTCCAACCTAACACTACCAAGCCCACCACTAAACCATGTCCCTAAGCACCACATCTACATGTCTGTTAAATACCTCCAGGGATGGTGACTCAACCACTTCCCTGGACAGCCTCTTCCAGTGCTTGACAACCCTTTCAGTGAAGAAATTTTTCCTCATATCCAATCTAAACCTCTCCTGGTGCAACTTGAGGCCATTTCCCCTTGTCTTATCGCTTGTTACTTGGGAGAAGAGACCGACCCCCACCTGGTTACACCCTCCTTTCAGGTCGGTGTAGAGAGCGATCAGGTCTCCCCTCAGCCTCCTCTTCTCCAGACTAAACAACCTCGGCTCCCTCAGCTGCTCCCCATCAGACTTGTGCTCCAGACCCTTCACCACCTTCGTTGCCCTTCTCTGGACTCGCTCCAGCACCTCAAGGTCTTTCCTGTAGCGAGGGGCCCAGAACTGAACAGAGCACTCGAGGTGCGGCCTCACCAGTGCCGAGTACAGGGGGACGATCACTGCCCTGGTCCTGCTGTCCACACCATTCCTGATACAAGCCAGGATGCTGTTGGCCTTCTTGGCCAGCTGGGCACACTGCTGGCTCATGTTCAGCCAGCTGTCGACCAACACCCTTGAGTCTTTCTCTTTTGGGCAGCTTTCCAGACACTCATCCCCAAGCCTGTAGCGTTGCATGGGGTTGTTGTGACCCAAGGGCAGGACCCAGCACTTGGCCTTGTTGAACTTCATACAGTTGGCCTCAGCCAATCGATCCAGCCTGTCCAGATCCCTCTGTAGAGCCTGTCCAGATCCCTTACTACTCTCAAGCAGATCAACACTCCCACCCAACTTGATGTCATCTGTGTTACTTGGTTGCCCTGATACTGAATGCACGTTTATGCAGAAAATCTAACAAGCATTATGGAGAACCAAAAATAAGACGGACATCTGTTAGAGGTTTAATTTGTAAATTCATACTGTGTTCTGATGGACTGCCTCCATTTATGTTGCCTTTTTCTTTTTTTTCCTTTTTTTTTTTTTTTTCCTACTGTGCCTGGCATCGGTAGGGAAAATAGATTTTATTTTCCATTTGCCATTTGAAATGTTGCAATACTCACTTCTTGTAATATTCTTCCTGGGTCACAGGATTGTATTTTGTATTCTCCTGTGAAATACAGGTCCCCAGTAAACATTTTTTGAGATTTGAAATCTCGTGTAAACAGTCAAATGTGAGTTAAGTATACGTTGGCTTCAAATGCACCACTATAATGTCAATGGAAGCATAGTAGTTGCTGGGTCAAATCTGAATATTCTTCCAAGCAAGCATTGTTTAAAATATCTTTGTTGTTAAAAACTAACCTACTTTTTTGAATGGGTGTAATTTATTCCCTGTGAGATCTCAGTCTTTTCTTTATGGCTACAGAGAAACAATCCTACCATTACAACTCAAATTCCTCAAATTGTCAAAGACTTATTTAACTAGACTTTGGGGTTGATTGTGGATTGTCACAGACTTAAGCCCGTGCATGGTCTTCGGAAATTCTTAGTGAATATGAATGTTGTTGGGTACAATCCCATATATTTGCTGTGCTGCCTGTTCAGGGCTACGTCCTTTCTTGATGTTAATAAATAAATCCCTGATTTGTGAGTGCATGCTGAAACTAATTAGACAAGTGATGTAAATGAACTGTTACTTTGGACTGTAATCTGTCCATTCCTAGTGTCCTGTGCCGTGTAAAGGTACTACTTTTCTAACATGGATTTTTGAACTGCAGCATAACTAAACAAACACAACACCTTGGCACAGCACATTCAGAAACATTTTTTTACATTCTAAAGGCCTGTTGTTCACCTTTCTGAACCTTTCTCTGTTTGGATGGAAATTTAGATAGAACATATGGTAATGACATTTTGCTTGGAACCTTTCCCAAAACATGTCAATATATCACCTAATTTGCAAATGCAATACAGACTTTCCTCTTTTTATGGGGAAAAAAAAGGACAATAAAGGAACTAAACTAGTCTTGAATGTGTGCTTAAAGCAAAGTTTTCAAGGAGCAATCAGTCATTTTTTTTAAAAGGATTTAACTGTAACTTCCCCTTGTTAACTGAGTTGTAAAAAATTGATTTAAAGGTAAGTGGTATATAAAGAAGTCATTGAAAAATCCAAATTGTAAAACATAATGTTCATCAGTGATACCTCAAATATTTTTCTGTGTATTAATCAAGAAACAAATGTGAATTCTTCAAGCTAACAGCAGATCCCACACTGTGAATAAGAATGTATGTAAACGTTCTGTAATATTCAGCAGTGCATGAGTTGCTTTTGGAAAAACTGATTTTTCTACTTCATGTTAAGCAGTCAACTTTTCTATAGGCCTCCTTGAGAAGACATCAACCCTAATCCCAGGTTTTGTCACAGTAAAGCATTCTTGACAGGTTGGCAATAATTCTGATTTGTAGCATAGATGTAACAGGAAAAAAATTGAAAAGACAAAGTTACTGTTACTAGAGCCAGCCGAAAAGAATGTTTTCTTATAAAGTTGACACCCATCGTTTTGCTTTCACCTGTATTTTCCTTTTATTTAGGAGCTCAGTGACCAAGGAGGCTCAGACTTTGAAAACACTGAAGTAAGATGGGTCATTACAGTGCCTGCTATTTGGAAGCAGCCTGCAAAACAGTTTATGAGACAAGCTGCCTACAAGGTAAGGTTACAGGCTGAACGTAGAAATGCCCCTTTACAGTTGATAGGCTAAATGATAAAATGTATTTGGGACAATTAGCTCTAGTATAAACTGTATAAAAATGATCTCAAAAAGAGTCAGACTAGAAGCATTGAAAGAGGAGTTAACTCTATCAAGCAGTAGCTTTAAGTCATATGTATTCACCTCTTAAATGCCTTTTTCTCGTTTATTTATTGGTGTCCCTCACTGCAGACTCTGATGTTTTAGTCATCTTGTACACTGTATTCCTGCCGAATTCAGTGCGCATGGAACAGATGCAGTTTTGAGACCCAAGGGAAAGATGATTTTAAAATACTGGACACAGTTTTGTTTTGTTATTTTGTTTAGGTCATCACAGATTTTTAAAATAAAAAAAAAAGAAAGAGGAGGGAAAGCAAAGAACCTTCATGGTGGGACTTTTTCTCCAGTTTCCATTTTCCCACAGTAGGAATGAAAAGACTGTGAACCAGATAGTCTGGATATAAAATTAAATTCAAATGTTATTTTCACCAGTAAGAGGTTTATCTGCATTTAACTCTTTTTATCCCCCTCCCCCCAATATGTGCACTTTCCGTATGCATGTCCTTTATTTCAAATTCAGTTTGCGTCTTTAATACAGGAGATGTACACATTCTTCTTTTCATCAGGATATTCATTTTCTGTTTTGTTTTTTCTATTTTTGGCCAGAGATTTGCATAACCCATTGGCAGTAGCTATGCGATGCACAGTTTGTAAAATATCTAGTACTTTATGAGCAATTTGCAGAGTGTTCCTGGGAAGCACCCGGATTTTTCTAACTCTGTTCTAACTATCTCTAATGTTGAGCAACATTTTTCTTAACAGTCTTTATTGTGGGATTGCTAATGCTAGTGCCAGAAGCAAAACACTCTTAAAGTTCTGATGGAAGGACACGGTTGTAGGTAAATCTGAAACACTAGAGACCCATTCATTATCTTTGTATATTGTTGTCTGCCTGCTGTCTGTGTGCATGTGTGCTCGTGAACTGGGAGCTGTGTAAGGAGCAGGGCAGGGTAAGGTAGATCTCTTGGCATTTCTCATTTGTGGCACAATGGAATGTTGTTTTAATTAGTGTCTGTGTCTGTGGTTGTGTCTGTGATTGTGTACTTTTATCGGCAAGCTTGATAAACAGCAAGGACTGACAAGGCTTTTAACTCGGGGTGTGTGATCAATTGCAGGAAAGCATAAGAGTTTAGGGAAATAACTGATATTTACTTGACACGTGGTTGATTTTTTTTAAAGTAACGGGGATGAAGAAAGAAGTGCAGGAAACTGAGAATTCTGCATTGCTGTTCAGTCTTTCAGATTCCTACTACTGGATCCAACAGGTTCCTCAAACGAGTATCTACAGGTGAATCAGAAGTTGCAACTCTTGTTGCTAGCTATTGGAACATGCAAGCATCTTGAAAATGAGAGCTTGTTGTCGTAAAAGTAATCGGGGCATCGAGTAGAGAAAAGTGTGAAAAGGCAGTGGTGGAGACTTTGTTACTGGAAACGCACTGAAGTACAACCACTAGTCTAAGCTGAGAATTACTAGTGTGAAATATTAAAGAGCTGTGGAAATCTGCTTGAGTAATCTCTGGCAAGTGACATAGCTGTAAGAGAACAAAAATACTAAGAGCTTCAGTCACTGGTTCACAATGTAAAGCCCAGCCTTTCTGGAAAAGTTAAGTAGTTGTCTAGGCAAAGCTAAATATTGCATGGAATTAATAAAGTCAAGTAAGAAGTGTTGTAAATCTGCTTCTGTGCTCAACATCCATCAGCTTTTGTATAGCCTACAATCTCAGTGCATCTTTGACATCCCCATATCTCTGTCTTGCCTTAAACAGAACATTGCTAACCTGGAACTCTTAATTCTGCCCAAGGGCTCCCGTGATGCCCCCTTTCCAGCTGCTCTGCTGCTTTCTCATTTGAATGAGTAGTGTGGATAATCCCTTCAGCTCACAGTTCTGCATCCAGCCTATCGAATTCCTGCCAATTCTGTCTGCATGACAGCTTTTCCTGTCTGTTCGTACTGCTGAGCTTTCATCGAAGCTGTCGCTGATTTTGCATCTTGGTTACTGCAACATCATTTCCTTGGCTTTGGCAGCTGTAATCTGGCCTGTTTTGTATCTCTTCAGAATATTGCTGCTAAAGACTTTTGTAGCCTCGCATTTGACAGGGAATCAACCTACATCTGGCTCCTTCATCTGTGTCATCTCAGACATAAGCTGCATGTCCTGGACATGACTATCTGTAATGCTAACTCATTTTTCCTCCTCTGAAACCCTCTCTAAAATGCTGGTTTTTTCATGCCTACAAAAACTTGACTGTGATTAACCTACTGATATGTGAAAGCTGCTCCTCATTGTTTCTTGCTGTTACTCTGCCTGCCCCATCTGTATTCGTCTGTTGTGCTTTTTGTATCCTTAACTCTTTTTATACTTGAGTTGTTACCTCTTTGAAGCAGGTATTTGTTTATTCTCATTTGTTTTGCTCTCTGGGGCCTCCTGAGGGACTAAGTCTGGTAGGTTGTAGAGAGCTGCATGTCTTTACAGCTTCACTTTCCTAAATCCTGCTTTATTCCTGAATAACAGTTCACAGATGCTTCTTCCTGTCCCTCATACTTAATTCCTGTGTGTCCAGAGATAGTTTTAAAGCTGCGTGACACTTGTTGAGGTCTGGTCACACTTGGGGAGAGCTCTGTGGCAAGAGCAGAGTGTCATCTATGTAGGACCCACTTTGGCTTAAGTTTCCTTTCCCAAAACGTGTCTGCTGGGATTAGTGTGCATTGCATCTGTGTTCATTATATCCTGAATAATGATGCTTAGGATGCATTAGTCAGGTTTGCCATTGTCCCCACCAGTAAAATATAAGGCATCATAAATAGTGTTAACTTTTCTTGTTTTTGTGTCCTAGTTGTTCCGTTTCAAATTCTTTGCTTTGGTGTAGTTCTGTCAGAAGTGCTGTATTTACCAGTATTAGAGTGAATCCCATTCTTATGAAGAACTCGCATCATGAGTAATAAATTCAAATTGCTGATGTATTTTCTTATTTTGGAGACCTTGGCAGTATGGTCCGGTTGGACAGCATGTGGGAGGACTCCATCCCACTCATGTGAGTGGGGCCTGCCCTTATCTCTGTCCTTGCAGAAGCAGCCAAATGCAACTACCTGCACTGGGCCTGAGGTTTAGACCCCAACATGAAAAGATGGTTTAGGTGTCGAGGCAAGCCACTTCCTGCTCGTGAACATGGCCTGGCACTTACAACCTCATCAGAACAGCATGTGAACGTGGACACAAAACCAGGATCCCACCTCTGTGTTGTCTGAGGTCCTACTGACAGAAGAAAATTCAGTGTTTTGTTAGTCTTGTATTACTGATGACAAAAAAAAGGTGTGTTCACTAATGGAAAGATGAAACTCTGAAAGTGTTCAAGACCACTTGTGTAGAAATCCATTGAATCTAGATAGGCATGAATAATCAGTTCAGTCTTAACAGCACTTTACTGTGTTAATATATTGCTATGAGCAGCACTTTTAGTCCCTTATCCAACGGAAATTCAGGCACTGTAGTTTGTTTATTAGAGGAACACAGGATCCAATATTCTTGGCAAAGTGTTTCTTTTTAGTAAAGGCATTCTTCCAGCTCATCTTTCAGTGCACGTTCTTTGGGCACAATAAGTGCAGAGCAGAATCTGCAGGCTGGAATTCCTTGAACATGCCAATAGGAAAAACATTTTAGGGAAGAGTTTGGAGTGTAACAGGGGTATGTGAATGCAGAAGCTATTAAATAAGAAAGTAAAACATGGCATACCAAATGCACTCAGGGCAGAGCAAAGGCAAGGGAAGGACAGGGCATTTTCATAAGCTTGCCTGAAATATTCTGTAGGCCTACAAACATCCGTCAGCTGCTGTGCTAGAGATATTGAGGGTTCTTTTCTTTTTAATATGAACTGTTGATTTTGAAATGGAGTTCTAGAGCTCTGAAGTAGATTTATCTTTCAATTACAAATAACAAATAAAATCATTTGCGTGGTAAGCTTGTATAAATAAAGAGAGGCAGTGAAGGCTATAGGATTAAGCGTATGAGCCTGGAATTCCAGAGGCTTTCTGTAACCAGCTCTTATACTGAATATTTATTAATGTTTTCACATCAGTTTCATCATGCAATGCACATCATGAGATTTATTTAAGACACTGTGTTCCAGGGTTAATTACGTTACACTGATCAGTACTAGTTTGCTTTATAGAAACATTTGGGAAAAAAGTAAACAAATTTGTTGAGAGAGTAATGTGATGGCACATAAAATTCCTTGCTAATACAAATGTGATGTAAAGTATGTTTGATTTTTAAAAAGATTACTAGAGAGACTTAACCAGGTTGATACCTGTGAAGCTGAGCTACAGTTATTCCTTTGTAAGTATTCTCTTTGGTACATAAAACACAACTGAAATTTATTTGCCTAGGCACACTGTAACAGACTTATGCTATAAACTGCATAAAAAGGCGATGGTGTTCAGGCATAAGGATCACTGGGAAGCTGGTGATTTCTTTGAAACAGTGCTTTTTAGTGAAGGCAGACAAGGCAGAAGTGCATTAATGCATCAATCATCCTGATTATTTGTAGCTTCTGGGCTTCTCTTGAGTCCATGCTTTCACTTTTGTGATATTAAGATCTTTTTAATCATAAGGATTAAAATGTTTATGAAGTGATATGTTAAGGGAGGATTCTGCATCTTGTCGCTATGTTTAATTTGGAAAGGATAACTAATTGAGGAGCGAAGATTACAGAGTAGGAACTCAGCACAGTGGGAAATATGTACTAATTGATCTTGGTTTACACATTTTAATTACCCAGCCAGGTTCACATGAAAGCAGAGGCAGTTGACAAAGCCATCTGCTAATCCAGTTCTGTACATTTCTGTTTGTCCACTTCTGTGGTACAAGTTGGAATATATGGAGGTTTTCTTTTTATTTAGCTAA